AATGATTGGGGATTTAGTCATTTTATGACATGGCAGGATCTTTTGGATCCTGATAAAGGTTACATTCAAGATGACTCTATTACACTTGAGGTTTGTAACATTTGATTTTATAAAATGAAAAATAAAAAAATTCTTTTTTCATTTGATGTTTTTTATAACTGATTTGTTTTATTAGTTTTTTTGAGATATAGATAATATAAATTTTAATATTTGACTGATTAAATTAGGTTCATGTGATGGCTGATGCTCCGCATGGTGTCAGTTGGGATAGTAAAAAACATACTGGATTTGTAGGTTTAAAAAATCAAGGTGCTACGTGTTATATGAATTCTTTACTTCAAACTTTGTACTTTACCAATCAGGTAAGTGAGACATAAAATGTTCTAAAGTTAAGTGTATCAATCATGAATCAAACATTGTATGTAGGGTCTCCCAATTTTTTCTGATTAAAATAAATGTATGTAAGAAAAAACAAACATATATGCGGTTTGAAACTTTTTGGAAATACTAGAAGAAAAATATGAAATATGAAGGAATGACAATAAAATTTTTCATAATGTTTTCAGTTACGAAAAGCTGTTTACAAAATGCCAACGGAAAGTGATGATTCTAGTAAGAGTGTGGCTCTGGCCTTACAGAGGGTTTTTCATGAATTACAATTTTCTGATAAACCAGTAGGTACAAAAAAACTAACTAAAAGTTTTGGTTGGGAAACACTGGATTCCTTTATGCAACATGACGTACAAGAATTTTTACGAGTGGTAGGGAAATAATTTAGTATATAACAACAAAATTATTGGATCTACTGAATCAAATTTTATTAAATATATTTATTTTACCAATGACCCCTTCAGCTTTTAGATAAGTTGGAAACTAAAATGAAAGGAACCTGTGTAGAGGGAACAGTACCAAAATTATTTGAAGGGAAAATGGTGTCATTTATTAAATGTAAAAATATTGATTATAAGTCAACTAGAGTTGAAACTTTCTATGATATACAGTTAAATATAAAGGGAAAGAAGAATAGTAAGCTTATTATTATTTTGAATACAGTATCTTTTGCTTTTAAGATTAAAGACTTATGTTCATTATAATGTGTAAAATGTTATATTAAGTAAATATTTATTGTTATTTTAGTTTATGAATCCTTTAATGATTATGTAAGCACTGAAAGTCTGGATGGCGATAATAAATATGACGCTGGAGAACATGGTTTACAAGAAGCAGAAAAGGGAGTTATCTTTTCGTCATTTCCTCCAGTTCTATACCTGCATTTAATGCGATTTCAGTATGATCCAGTTACAGATTGTTCAGTCAAATTTAATGACAGGTAAGAAATGTTATGTTAAATATGTTAAAATGATTTTAAGTTGTATTGTGTCGATTACGTTATACTTAAAAACATTTATACATTGTTACATTTTACGAAGGTTTGAATTCTATGACAAAATAAGTCTTGGTAAATACTTACAAAATAAAGAAGCAACGAGTGCAGATTATACATTGCACGCAGTCTTAGTTCATAGTGGAGATAATCATGGTGGTCATTATGTTGTATTCATCAATCCAGCTGGTGATGGAAAAGTATGTTTAGTCTGTGTAATTAGTGTTTAGTTATTTTACTTTTATTTTCGAAGGATAATGCATTTCAAAACGATTACTTTTTCAATCATTAATTATACTCTCGATTCTCGAACAGTGGTGCAAATTTGATGATGATGTCGTCTCGAGGTGTACGAAACAGGAAGCCATTGATCATAATTATGGTGGTCAGGATGAGGACATATCTATGGCTGTAAAACACTGTACGAACGCCTATATGCTGGTGTATATAAGGAATTCTGAATTGGAAAACGTCTTACAAGAAGTTAAGGAAGGGGATATACCTCAAGAGGTCAGAAACGTCCTTCAAAGAGAACTTTCCCAGGAGTTGAGCGACCTTGAACGTGACAAAGACACGACTGACTCAATTAAAGACTCACACACAGAGACTACGACTCTTCGTCCGTGTACTCAAAGTTCTCGAAATCCAAATCTCTATATTCATGATTTTTAAGAAATATACCAAGAGAAACCAATACAAAGAACTGGAAAGAGTTATAAATTGTTTATATTATTTTTTGATGAAACTCTTCCTACTTCTTAAATATATTTTAAGCTAATTAGCTCATAATATGAGATCAAAAATTCACAACACAATATCAGATTACATACGAAGGTGAAATGAGTTTATCAAAATAGAAACCTATCCAAATAGATCAAATATTTTGGATATATGAATTAATCAGAAAATAAAGTTTACAAATTAAATTTAATAAATTAATATTTTTTTTAATGTCTCTATATACATACACAGATATTTCCAGATATTTGTTATAAGATTTCTCTTAATATTTTTTATGAACAGAAATTTATAGTGTTATCAGCTGTAGGCTGTTATATCACCAAATGTTGATACTAAATACATGGTGCCCAATTTTCGGTACACGTGTATACGTAATATATCACATTAAATCTTTTTCAAAGTGTTACACGCGTATTATTTCATTGAATGTTGTTACGTATGGAGAAAAAAAACATATTATTTTGAATTGAGTAATAATTTGCCTAAATGTGTCCTGTGCAAATGTTCTGAACATTGCATATAAAATTTTTCATCATTATTACCTGAAATATATTAATATATATTAATTATAATTCGTGTTATATAGAGATTTGTTCTATTTCAATAAAAATATTTTAACTGTTAGACAGAGGATTTTCGGTATGGACGATTGAGTCATGAAAAAATTACAATTCTTGTTTATTTTTAATTTATTTTTTTGTTACTTGAAAATTTTATACTAATATAACATGTATATTATATATATAATATATGATAAAACATATAATATATAATATATATAATATATATAATATTATTATAATGAATATATATTATATACAGTATACTTGACTACAGTTGGTCATCTTTTTGAGGGATTATTCTACTTGTCAAAATAAGACGAAAATCAAGAATGACAAAGTTGCAGTGAGGATTTCAATTTAAAATTATCAGTGATTAAAAATTCATTAATAGTGTTATGTAAATCATGTTAGCAGAAATAAGAACAGCAACAGGTAATGAGAAACGCATATGTTTCTATCAGACTTGTGATCTAAAGCCTCATATGATTTTTTTAAAAATTTCTACATAAATCGTTGTACAGTATTAAACATATTTGTTGACCAAGATTTATACAGTTTCTATATGTCAATTTTAGCTTGTTATGCACTGTGAATGTTGAGGGCGCCAATAATTAAATATTTTTTTATCCATTATACCTATATACAAAACATTTGACACATCACACATTGAAACATTGATATTAAATTAAAGTAAAAATAACTAATTTTTATTATTTTAAAAGTATTCAAATTACTAAACTAACAACGATCATTTAACGAAAGATCGTACGACCAAAATATTATTAGGGATTAAATATACTGTTGTAGTAAACAAGTTTAATGTTGTACAACGATTTAAAAAAGCATGTTATATGAAGTATTTGTGTCTTCAAGATAAGCATCTGACGATTGCATATTTCTGCGCTCGCATTGACTCACGTCACACGTGTCATTATTAGCGAATTGCTATAATTTAGAAACATTTTGAATTATTAATAATTTGAAGATGAAATCGAAATTGCAATTTCGACACATTGAAGTTTCGTCTTATCCTGATATGTGTAAAATCTTCCACTTAAAGGATAGCCATCTATAATCGAACACTTTGTATATAATATATTTATACATATTAATTAATTGACTGAAGAGAAAACAGCCATAATTAATGTACGCGTTACACTTCAGATCCTATAAAGAATCACAATCGGGCTGATATAGAATTTGATTATTAGGTGTAATCGTGATGAGCCTTAGTATCATTTAAAAATGTTTATTGTAATAAATATTGTATAATATTATAACTGAAACGAATAATTGTATTGTAGTATTTTAAAGCTTTGAGTGAAGAATGCACAGACATATCGCAGAGTAGGTTGGAAATGTGTGAATATAGTATAAGCAAAATAAGGGCATGAAAGACTTATTAGTTTAATATAGTGAGATAATTATTAGAATTCTAATCTGAAGCAATGAGTTTGAACTTATGAAACGTATAAAGTTAAGAGATAAAAGAGAGAAATGAACAATAAGTAGGATTTATTGATAATGTCTGCTTCTTCCTTAACATGTCTTCTATGGTGTGTTTATTATTTAATGAGGATTATTTAACAAGTGAAGTGAAACGTAATTTATATAATCAGATCCATGATTTTCGTAAATTAACACCTCGAATTAACTTAAATAATAACAGTAGGCAGTGAACCTTACAATAAGGTCTGAATCAATTAATCGAGTCGTTGATTCATCAAATTGTCAATGTTAATAGTCAATATGATCATCAACAGATGCCACCTATTTATTTGTTGTTATATATTAATAAATTAAAAATTTCAATGCATCATCGACAGAGTGAATACTGCTTCATAATAGCTATAAAGTACCTATAAATAATATACTAATATTTTAGACATAAAAAAGTAAAAAAAATATGAAATAAACTGTTGAGTACTAGAACATTTAAAAAATAGAATTGACATTAGTTATTTAGAAACCATTTTTAATTTCTACTTATTGAAAATTTGCAGCCACACTTTAATTTAAAACATATTTGTTTCACATTTGTTATTGTAAAGCATCTCCACACTGCTGTGATCATACATTACATTTTTATTATTATTCGGCACAAATAATGGTCATATCTTAAAAAA